CATAAGCCTGTTATTTATGAAATAAGAGTTGAAAATAGAAGATGGGCATCTGGAAGAAGTTGCTGTCATAGATCCTCCCTCTGGCTAGGAGAATTAGAGCATGGTTTACTTAACTCCCATTTCTGATGAAAACGGGATTCTGCTATGGCTTGTCACAAAAATTATTTGAAGCTGAGAAAAATGGGGAAAACACCCATGGCTCAATAATTATTCCTAAAAATAAGTGCAGTTGCCTCACTCAGAGGAAAGGGCTGGATGCAGTTCATGGTCACTGGCTGTAATACTGATTCTTTTCTTCCCATCTACACAATCCCCTGTGCACTGGAAACAGGAGAGGCTCCAACGGACCCAAACATTGTTATTTCCCAACCATAAACATGCAAATCCCCATCCCTTAAAGGGGCGTGAATCACTGGCTAACCAAAGCTCAAGGATTACTTGTTTTGCTTCACATTTGTATGGTGACTGACCCAATGGGGTCCTGGTCTATGACTGCCACTACTGCAACACAAATAACTGAAGAGCTTCTCTCGTGTTCTAGCCTCTGCAGCCACATGCTTTCAGCAAACAAGCAGTCTTGGCTTCTCCCTTTGCCTCCTACTGCCTTTCAGCCAATAGAGCATGGGAGGGAGAGTAAGTCTTGATTGTTTCAGCCTGTTTTGGTAGCTTGCTTCAGTGGGATGGATGGGAACAACACCCAGCACCCCCTGCTAACTTCCTAACTTCCCCTGTTCTTGTGGCTATATAAATTTCCTTGAGATTGGTGCAATACACCATGGAAAACTCAAAATAGTGGTTTAATAATACAAGGACAAGTGGAAACAACCAAATGGAAACCTATGTACATTTTAAAAACAAACCAAAAAACCCAGAGGGTATTCAACATTTCCAGGGAAATCTAATTTGAATTGTCTAGCAAGAAATGTTTTTATACCTTTAGATGCGATCAGTATATTTTTGGCTAGGTATTTTGGCCACAAATATTTTTTATTATTGTTGTAGTTATTAATTGCATCTATTTAGAATCTCTATTTCCTGGCAAGATTTAAGGCTCTGGAAACACAGAGTCCACAAACAGTGTTGGATAGGAAGTAACAGATGACTGAGCCAAGCAGGCTCCGTGTATATAAGTGTGTGAAATGCAACAGGAAAAATACAAAATGTGTAATTTTTAGTCACAGCAAATAACTGATGTGAAATATATCTACTATAAAATTTGCTACCTTTTATTTTACTAATGGAGGAGAAAAATTAGGAGAGATATCTTATTGTTTTAATATATAAGTCTTCCCTTATATGTTTTGCTTCACAAGGCTTTAAATTTTCTTCCAATGTGGTTTGTGTGTCAGATATTTTTCATAAAATACAAGCCTCCCAAGCCTTAAATTCCCTTTTTTTTCCTTATATGTAATTACTCACTATTGAGAGAGCATTCCTTCTCCCTTGCACAAAATTGCTACTTTTTTCTGAAGTAGTACAGTATCCAGCAATTTTAACTCCTCAATTTATCAACAATTCAGAGCCAAATTAGATGGAAAACAACACCTGTTTTTCATTTGTATTTGAAATAGTACAAGTTTCTTGATGGAGTGGTAGTCATGAAAGATTTTGAAGCAAAACTGGCAGAAAAGTAAAGAATTCACTGATCCTTATATATGGATGCTGATATGGTGGCGGCAACATTGGGTAGAGGTAGAGAAAGTGGTTTGCCCTGAGCTTGAGCCCACAACATAACATAGGAAATAAATTTCTTATCTAACATTCATAAGTATTTTTTTTCCTCCCCCCCCCCCCCCCCACATTACCCTTTAAAATGGATTTTTACTGCTACTGGACACTTTTGGATGAGGGAGGACTTTATGGAAGAAGAACAAACCCTTTCCTCCACTCAGTCTTGTGCAGAGTCTGGTGTGCAACCTCCTCATGCAAAGGATATGTGCACAGCCTTGTTTGCCTGAAAACAGAGCCAGAATGGAGGCAATTTCTTCATCTCTAATTGCCACACAGCACTCCAAATGCCAGGCTCTCTCCCCCTCCTGGCTTACTGCCGTGGTCCCTTTGCTTACATTTTCTTGACTTTTTGTCCCCTTCTCCCTGCTTGTTCTCTGGTGGCTCCTTTGCACTGCAGGAAAAAGACTACAAACTTCTTTATGTCTTATTTACTCACTGCCATCCCTCTCCTTACCTGAAATTCTCTTCCTTTCCCATGCAGTGCTCAGCCAAAGTCCCTTGACCCAGAACATTCAAGATCTTGAGTGGTTTTGCATCTCTCTTTACTGTGGACAGAAGCTCAACATTCAACACTATATGCCAGTGATGTCAATATAGGTTACAAATCTACTTTATCAGTTTAAATTAGTTTTAATCCAGCTACGACAATAGTGATTAAATCCAAACTGCCATAAATTTGTTTCAGCATCATTAACTTATTTGAAGACATCCATTCAAAACTCCAAGAGATTCTGCCTCTAGTTACTGAAAGACAGAGACAGAGACCATACTGTGTTCACATTCAGGAGGTTAATTTGACAAGCAGAAAATGTAGAAGGATAGTGTACCAGAGAAAGTGAGTTTCGGTTTTGGCAGAATTCAGCAGGAAGGTGCATGATTTGCTCACAAGGCCACAGCTGTGAATGATTGTGAGCAGGTCCATGAGTTTGCATCCACTGTACATCAGTCAAGGGCAGAGAGAAAACCAAAAGGAAAAAATGCATCAGTCTGTCAAAATTCCAGGTTCCAGTTCAAGGTCTACAGCACATACTGAGAGAAGAGGAAATAAAGTCCTGTGAAAGACCTCTGGCAAAAGATTTTTTATTTGACAATCTTTCAAGATTAATATATTGCTATAAGTCACTCCCTCTTCTCACTGATGGTGTGGATTGAGCTACAGGTCATAGGCTTTTATTTAGCCCAGCTGGCAGACAAAGTAGAAAAGCACCTTGGATGGTAATTAGGCAGCCTATGTAAAATGCATGGCTCATGTCTCTGACAAGGTTTGATTAGTCAGCTCTCCTCATTACAAAACAAGTTCAGCAATTAGCTCACACAGGCAATTCCACTTGCAGCATGAAGGAAAAATAGGCTGGAGTGTGAACCACTGAATCCCTTCAAATGAGCATCCTGAGGGCAGGTTTGTGATGCACTGGTGATGTTTGATCTATTCCTGCTCTGCAGCCCAAGGAGTTGGGTTTCCCTGTGTGTCAGTCTGGCTGGCACCTGTGCTTTTTCATCCTCTGGCAGTTTTTCTGTTTGACAGCTGTCTTAATTTTGGGCACCCTTGCTTCCCTCAACTAGAAGTTTGGCAATGATGGACTGTTGTTTGTCATTTGCAGGTTTTTAATTATCTTCTTTAACAAGTTGGTGTTGTTACTTATGTAAAGAATTGTTATTTTCACATACTAATAAATATTAAAAGATGTCTAGAAATTAAATATTCAAAAACTCTAGGCTGCTTCCATGGGCAGGGATCTGGCACTCTGGCTTTTGTCTGATATCAATACCAATGAGAAGACAGGTGTAGGTTTCACAACACATTTGTTTTTAACTGTGGGAATATGGTATTACTCAACAAAATTGATATTTTGGGTTATTCTTGATCTTTGAAGTGGTGAAAAGAAATTACTCATTCGACAAAAACTTCTCAGCCATTTCAGATTTGCAAATTCTCCCCTCTCCAGTTCCAGTTTCTGTGTATGTGCATATGGTGCTGCACCTGTACTGTGAATTGTAAACAGTTTCCAATAAATTTCTCATTCTGTTTTGGGTTTTTTTCTGTTTTATATGAATGCCTCAGAAGATGTTCATGGATCTGTGGGCATGTCTGTGCCATGCTTTGGAAGCAACTAGATTATTCAACCTGAAGCATCAATGCCTTTTAAAACCCATTCTAGGAGTCTCTTCAGTGTAGCAACACAATGTGTTGTGTCCCAAATTGTTCCATGCTTTGTTTAGAAAACTAGTGCTTCATGAGCCTTGCAGCTTGACTATATCAAAATGCCTGTTTTAAAAGCCTTTCCCTGAAGCGTGTTTCCAGGCAGGATTTGTTGATTTAAATAGCTGTGTGGCTCACAAGTTTGTGAGGTTAAAAATGCAGTAGGAAACCACTGTAAACATCGCGTCACCAGCTGAGGAGGATCTGGAGACACTGTGTCGAATGGGCAAGAAGAAATTCACTTTAAATACAGCTTGGACAGCTGCCTAGAAAATGAGAGGGATTCAGTAGCTGAGGTTTACATTAGGAGTTGTGTTGGATGTTTCTCCCCATATGCATGAGCAGCCAGGCTCATCAGCCTGCAGAGTTTCAAGGCACTGCACTTAAAAGTGACTTCTTCCTTTTGCCAGATGTGGTTTGCTCCTGTTGGCATCTGTAGCAAAAGTGCAGCCTATTCAGCTGGAGCATGCTGAGACCTTTCAAGAATATTTATGGATGTGCATAGTTACATGGTCTATGACATAGAACCAATAAACATAAAAGTGAATCTTTTTTTCCTCTTGTATAAGCTAATGGTTTATGTGTTAAACTAAAATTCACCAGCTGTCTTGGTGAGTTTTAGCATTAATCAGAATCATGGCTGCTTAGAAGAAAACATGAGTATTTACTGAAAGAAATATTAAGAGATTAGTCTGTGGAGCAGTAAACACAACTAAGTAGTTTTAAGTCCAGGTTGTCTTAAGGAAAGAAGAGTTGCCAAACACATGGCTATAAAGAATGAAAGTTTATAGAATAATTTCTTCAGAATGCCTAGAAATTACTCTGAAAATGGTCAATTTGAGTGAAAGATAATAATTTAAAGAGAATGCCAGGGAATAAATTCTTCTATCACTAGAGGGAAGCAGTTGTTTTTTTCCCCTGCCTATCCATACTCTCCTTTTATTAGCTCCCTGAGCTGAACCCATTCGACTCAATTCATCAGAAAATCCCTCACTTTCTTCCTGGATTAGTTTTCTGCTGTTCTAAAGTGTTGAATTGGCTCAGCAGCAGATGAGAAAAACCTGCTTAAAAGTCTAGGCCAGGAGCACAAGAAGAGAGAAGGAGGTCATTCCCCTTTTCTGGCAGCAAGCGCTCGGTGGGGATGTGTGTGGTACAGGTAGGATTGATCATATGTGATTGAGCAAAAGAGATTTGACATCAACAGCAGGGCCAGGTCCTTGTCTTTTTGGGCTGTGAGCTGTGCCTAGTCACGTCCTCGACAGTTCCCCCTTCTGCCTTGCATCCATTGTCTTTCATCCTGCTTGTGCTATTGACGTCATGCCCTTGTATCTTCTTGTCCCCTACTTCTTAACCTCGCTTTCCCTCTGTGTCACTATGGTCTTTAAAAAGGATTGTTTGTAGACATTTTTATTAGCAGAAAGAAAAACAGAGGAAGACTACAGAGAGGAGGAAGCCACAGAATAAACAACAATTGAACTTCATCATGAGAACTTCTTTTGGTTCATTGCAAAAATAAATAAATGCCTTCATATCAGCCGGTAAGGAGTGGTGGACAAATCTGTTTTATTGTCTAGAACATTGTTTTTCTAATTTTGTATCTTGCAGGAGCAATGACAGCATGTCTGAAAATGTCAAAAAGTTTCAGAGATGTTTTTTCTTACCTCTCCCTGACTCTACTAATTCTAAATATTTTCATCAGCACACAAACATAATCATAACTCCTGACGCATTCTCACGGAATAGCACCTGATGTCTGTTTTCATATTTCTGGCCATAAGTAAACATGACAGAGTCTTCCCCAATGAATATTTAAGACAACTGGTATTTTAGCTGCTCAGACAGCTTACATTTAAAACGAGCAAGAGACAGACAAGAGCAACACTCCGTAGCTATGGCATGTATAAACATCAGGTTTACCTGACTTCAGGACAAGTGCCAGAATCTTCCTCCTAAGAACAAGTGAAGCACTTCACTGGAGAACACCCTGGCTGACGCACCTGGGGCCGCGACTCCCTTTGCCTGAGCATTCCCTGCGTGTCCCCTGCCACCTGCTCTTCTCCTCGGGTCATCCTCTGGGATTAACTGGCCCAGCTGCCTCCACGGCCGTGCCCACAGCTCACCGATGTACGGAGCAGGGCAATAACCACAGGCAGATGCCAGCCTAATCCCACGGGGACCGGGAAGGAAGGGGATCCCGCGGGTAGCCGAGCAGCATTGCAGCATTGCTGTTGCATGCAAAGCCACGGGCTCACTGCAAGCGAGCCACTGCCTCCTCGTCGTGCTGTGTGCCCTGTCCTGCTGGCAGTCATGGGGCTGGGTAAGGCTGGCCCAGTCCTGCGTTCCCGTGACAGTCCCTCCTTACAGCGGGCTCTGACAACAAGATACATCTCCCGCTGTCCGCTCCCTCCGCAGCAGCCGGGCGCACAGCCGGTGCCGGGCTTAGCGCAGCGCGATCCCCCCGAAGGAGCCGTGCTCCCGGCGGCGCCGGGCGACGCTTCCCGCTGTCGGTGGCGTTGTTGGCCGGGCTGCGGCCGCTGGGACAGCCGGCCGGGCGCACCTGCACCGCCCGGGGCCGCCGCCCCGCCCCGGCCCGGCCCGGCCCCGCCGCGCTATAAGAGGGACAGCGGCGGGGCCGGCCGCCTGCACTGGCGGCGGGAGGCGGCGGGAGGCGGCGGCGGCGCTGGGGCATCTCCGCCCGCCGCCATGAAGTCTCCTGCAGCCCAGCGCCCGGCGGGGCAAGGTGGGAGCGGCGGGCGGGACCCCTTCGGGCGAGACCCCTTCGGGCGAGACCCCTTCCTTCTCTCCCTTCTCTTCCCTCCCTTTCCCTTCGCCGGGATGGGGGCGCGGGGGCGGGCGGGCTCAGGGTCGGGTCGGGCGGGTCCGGTCCGGTCCTGACGCCGCCGCCACCGCCCAGCAGCGCCGGGGGAGGACGGCGGGGGCCTGGCGGAGGCGCTGGGCGAGTTCGACGCGGTCCTGGCCGAGTTCTCCTGCCCCGCCGGCCGGCGCCGCTTCTTCTACGGCGAGCACCTGGAGCGCATGAAGCGGCGGAGCAGCGCCAGCGCCAGCGACGGCAGCGGCCTCAGCGACTCCGAGAGTGAGTGTCCGTCGGTCCGGCCGTGCCGGTCCCGGGGGCGGGGGGCGGCCGGCAGCGACGCTCCAGAGCGGGTGCTAAACCAGCACATCGCCCTCTTTGAGCGAGGCAAGGATCCGGGACGGGAACCCGTCTGTTTCCGTAACACCCGTGCCTTCTCTTTCGCCTTCTGGGTTGGAAGTGCAGGACGCATGGGCTGGCCCCGCTGGTTTTACTCGCTGGTGTTGAACGAGGGGAGAGTCACGAGCGGAGCCTAAAGAGCTGTCGCTGGGAGAAGGTCGGACTGCGGGACGTCCCGGCATCTGCAGAGAAAGATGTCTCTTAGGGGGACCGTCTTCACAGGGACTGTCCGCTGTGTTTCGGTAACCAGAATCATCTGGACAGAGCGAGCGAGCCAAAATGTGCATTCCACAGCAGGTGGAAACTCAGCCAGGTTCCCCGTTGTAAGAATGGTCATCCACCCATCCATCCATCCGTCCATCTGCATGGACGGCAGTGTTGTCACTGTTTCAGAGGTGCTGATTTTAAGCTACCTTGTGCCCAAGTACACTAGATGTACGTGAATGATGCGTGCAGAACATGGAACAGGGAGGGTAGAAAGCTACTTGGAGCAGGAAAATGTAGAATTGGAACTAAATTTTTTCTAGTTAACCTTGGAAAAAAGTTCAACCCCTCTTACTGGCTTTACCAATCAGGGAGAGAAAACATCTTTCCTCTTCCAGATAGTGAAGTGGGAAACTGCTGTTTCATTTGAGAGCAGTAGGTTACTTTCTTAGAAGTAAGTCTTGCTAAATGCAAAATATAACCAGTTTTGTTGGTTTGAGTTTTGTGTTTGGTTTTTTTGTTCGTTTGTTTGGGGGTTTCTGTTTGCATTTTGTTTTGGGATTTTTTTGTAGGTTTTTTTTTTTGTTGTTGTTGTTGTTTGGTTTTTTGTTAAGTTCCTAACTATATGGGAAGTTTGATGAAATATACATGCTTTGCAGCTATTTATAATAAGACTGCTCCTCTAATTTCTGCTCTGCCTCTTTATCAGTTCAGGGACTCGAGGTGCCATTCTGTTGATTTAGTGCTTAAATACTAATGCTATCTCCCTAGTACTTGAGCTATGAGAGCATAGACACTACAGATTATCAGAGCCCTTTATTTCATCATCAGGGATGTAATTCATTTTGTTGGCAGGTATTGTTTTACCTGCCCTGAACTTGAATACCTTGCCTAGCACTGCCTTTGGGTTTTTTTCTGTGGAAGTACATGGATCAAGATGCTATTTTTCTGTTTCATAATGTAGTGAGTGTAGAACTCTTTCTAAAAATCTCTACCTCCAAAGAGGATTTTGAACTCTGTGCCAAATTTAGACTGAACAGTGTTCTTTTGTCTAGCTGAGGGAGTGTATATGGTGAAATCTGCCTTTACCAAGTCAAACTGGCAGCCCTAGTGTTACTAGTGTTACTTGTGCAGCCTTCATAATTGTGATATGTTAACCTCTCACATACACTTATTGTGTTTCACAATTGAGACACTTGTAATGACAGAGTGAAATAATCTACTGTTGAGAAAATTATAAAAATCCCAACCCAGTATCTAGAACTTATTCTTCTTGTATGGAGAATGCTAAGTAACTACAGATATCTATCTGCTGTGGTTCAAAAAAATTAAATCTTGAAAACTGCTAAAATTGCTCCATTAGAATTGACAAAAAGGATCTTTGGAGGAAGATGGCAGTGCTCTCTGGCAGGGCAGAAGGCCTGGTGAGAAAACAGCATGCTCATGTAAATGGGCAGATCAGATCTTCAGGAAGATCTAGAAAATAAAAATATATATGGCAAATTCACATGGATTTAGGCTGAAGACAGTAGTGGGAGTAGTAGGATAGACAGGGTTTGATGGCTCTATATGAAGTCCTCAAAGATGTTGTATGAGGAACTTGTCAAGTTTTCAAACCCTGTTCCATGCCTGAGTTGCTCCCTAGGTGATGTATCATGTGAAAGATGGCTCTGGAGAAGTCAAAGTCGCTGCCTTCTGGGCACCAGCTTGTGAGGGACAGGAGGGTGCACCAGAGTTTATGAGGGTATGCTTAAGGGAAAAGGAACAAAACCAGCCAGCTCTGCTCATGGCTCTGGAATAGCCTGGTAAAACACTTCTTCCTAAAGGAGTCATTCAATGCAGTAATTTTTTTATTTTGAAGTTATGGTAGGACTGGAGAGGAATTGTGGATTTATGAAGAGCTCCTTTTATAAAACAGGCTCTAGTGTCTGATGTAATCCAGCTACACTCCCTACATCTATTTTAAGAATAAATTCAGGGAGTTGCCTACTTACCCAGGTTCTTTCAGTTCAAACTCAAGTATTTATTTAGTTTCTTTTCCCTTTGATTTCTGGAATTTGGTGTTAGTCAGTATAGTGCTGAATTCATGACCTTACTGTTCTTACTGTGATAAGGGTTAGGTTAAAATGCCACTGCAGAATCAAGGGGTAACTGGGCTGAAAGAATAAGTTCTGATAACATGAATCTTTAAAAACCATATTGTGTGCAGGTACTTTGAATGATCATCTTGTTAATGAAGATTCTTTACATCTCTGCAAAATCTTGTTATCCTGTGCCAAGACTATTTCAAGTACACTTTACCATGTGTGTATAGAACAGTTCAGACTATCGTGTTTTAGTGCTATCTGTTGTTTGTTGTTTGATCTAATCCTCCTAACTGATTTGGTGTGGCTGATTATATGTATCTTTTGGCCACTCCTGCAGTGATATCTTTCCACTCAGAGATGGAACTGTAAAGGAAGGAAACATTTTAAACTGTTCCAACTGTTTGTTGCAGTGCCCCTGAATCAGCCTTAAATTCTGTTTCATGAGAAGCTACTAGCAGATGTCAAGTGGTCGTACTTGAACAATATTGTTTAGTAGGGTAAGGGAAGCCTTTCTTCTCCTGGGGGATCTGCCATGGGCATGAGCCCATTTAATTTAATAGAAAAGTTTACAGAATATCTCTGTCAATGCAGTTAATTTTGAAAATATTCTGTTATCCTTAAAATCTCCCAAGGAAGCTAGCTCCAAAAATACTACTTTAAATTCTTATATTACCTATTTCTGGCTCCTGAGAAAAAGTAAGATTTTGAAGGTTCTGTATAAAAATGGGTGCAATAGTACTTTGTTCTCCCGCATCTTGTCCTGTCATTTGACTAAATGATCTTTGGACAAGGCCTGGCTTGGCTGTGGCTAAGCCTTGTACGCAGCACAATGGACTCTAGACCTTGCTGAACAGGGAGGCTCTGAGTGCAGATGTGTGATGATCCTGGCCCATGAGTATTACATTCACCACCACAGCTGAGTGGGTCAGTGCTGGAAATCGTGATGCAACTGCTGAGTTACTCCAGCATTCCAGAGCTTCTGGACTGTGAGTGAGTACCAGTTATGTTTCAAGTTGACGTATTCAAACGAATTGG